TTTATGTGACAGAGACGAGAAAAACAGCTGTGATATAATCCTCCAATTGTATTAGGTTTGTAGGGTTTTGTGCCTCTTCTTTCAAGGCTTGCCTAAACCTTCTTATTTGCTATGTAAATACAGCTTGCACCATCTTTCAGTGGAAGAAGAAATGATAAAAGGGATGCTGTAAGCGAAGGATGTGGCTGCCAAATATGAAAAGGGCAGAAGTACAGGGAAGGAGGAAAGGGAGGGACCTCCAGGTTTTGTGCCTCTCGCAGCCTTCCCGACTCCTGCAGTGCTCCACTTGCCTTCGTGCAGCTACAACATGTGTTAATAATTGTGCACGGAGTCTGGACGTGCTCAGGCCAGCACTGGGAGTGCTGCTGTTGAGCTGCTGGATTAGTTGTACCTCTCGTGGTCCAGCCCTGTTTTAGGTGCAGCACAGGGAGCAGGCAGGGCCTCCTGGCTGCCAGCACCCCATCCCATCTCCTTGGGCGTCAGGCTCAGGAATGCAGAACTCGCCAGAGAGTGAAGTCATCATGGTTTGCCTGGACCTTGAGCGTGGAACTTGGAGTGCAGCCTCTCCTTCCAATTACGTGAGCAAGTGCTGGCTCGTAGCACAGAGCCAGCAGGCTGAACCTTTGGATTGTGACCCTGGGGGAACAGCTTGATGGATGTCTCCTGTCATCCCTCACCTCACCAGTGAGCCTCACCCAGGAAATCCTCTCTGCAATTCCTGCTCCAGGGGCACCTAGTTATCTTCATTCATGGGACAGAAAGTGCATGATGTCTCTGACAAAGTATTATTGAGTACACCGGGTCATTGGCTGGAGACTTAAGTGCCAAAATTAAAAAAAAAAAAAAAAGAGAGAAAAGGTAGAAAATAGCCTTTCTTGCAATCAAAGCTTTTGTGATAGGAAAACACTCGTCAGAGTCATTTGGGAAAGCTGCCTCCTGTGTCTGGGAGCACCAGGAAGAGGTGAGCAGAGCATCTAACCACATTGTGGTTATTGACATGTGGTGGATTTTCCTCGTGGCAAATACAAAGTGCTGGTCACTTGTCACGTCACTACTTCAGGAAAGGGGAACAGAGAGAAATGGGGGAAAAGACAGTCCATTATTTATGTGAGATTTTTTCCCTATGAGCAAATCCCTACCATGATTTTCCTTCCACCAATCAAAAATCTGCCTCCACAAGCCTGAGTTCTATGTGGAGGTTGGGAAATAAAAGAGAGAAGGGAAGAACGTAAGAATTTCTATTTTCTTGCTAGTCAAATGTACCCTGAGTAGAGAGAGGCTCCTCTGGGAGTTGCAATTGCTCCCTTGTGGATGCTGGAAATGCTTTGGGGTTTGTTTTTTTTATGACTGCAGCTCTAATCTGAATGATGGCAAAACTTAGTCTTCTGCTATTACTGCCAGCTCTCTAGATAGAGCAGGGAAGAAAAAAGTGAAGTATCACTTTGGAGTGTTTTCTAGGGAAGAAATGTTTCCATAGCCATAAATTGCTTTCTTGGAAGCACTGAAAATTCCTATCCCAGTGCTGTGCTTTGTGGAATCAAAGTCAGCAAAGTCTTGGATTCGAAAGGAGTAAAAAATGAGTCTTATTCAAAAACTTTAACATCTTGATATGGCAATGCGTGGTAAAAACAAACAGTAAAAATAAAATAATTAACTTGATAAATTTCTAGTTGTAGTAGTTATGGTGTTTTTTAAAAGTGCTTGTCTTGGAGCAAAGATTGTCTTGTGAAACGTTATCTGAAGAATCCCTCTGTTGGAGCAGTGCTGCTTTCCCCCAAGTTAAAAATTCACAGTTTATTGACAGCCTGAGTTAATCTGGAGGTTTGATCTCTCTTCTGTGGTGTAGGATTTAGGTGCTTTGCACAGGTTGCAGTCTCTTCGTGGTTTTGCTTGGATTTGAGAATCATTTATATGTAAATGATCCTGATCCCCTGTTCTTTTCCTCCTTACCAATTAACCTGGTTTTTGAAGCACACAGTTGTGTGAGCAAAATTGGCAAGTGCTGCTTCCTGGTGCAAAACTGAGTGGTGTTAGCATGGTGATCATGATTGCTGGAGCTCATTACCAAATTGACTCTTTGAATAATCAAACCTTGGAAGTCAGTTCAGTGGTGTCCCATCAGTCTCACTCCGTTAGGCGACTTGGAGGCAGCTCTTTCATGTCGCCTTACAGCTTGTCCTCTGTAAATGGTGGATGTGTTTATTTTCAAAAGCAGCAAGAAAGCCCAGTGGAACAAGAAAAAAGTTGGAAGAACAAGCCCTCAAAGAGATTTTGACACTGGTGCCAGGGGGTTTATGAAAGATAAAACAGCTCATTTTTTTATGGCTAAAGGAAAATGCCATTAAATCCCTCGTGCCTAACTGCTACAGTAAACTTGCCAGAGCTGTTCCAAACACAGCATGCCATGGGATATTCAATGATTTTCAATGAAAACTAGGCTTAAAAATGCATATCTCCTGCGTGTGGATCAAGGGTAGCTCCAGGGTGCTCAGTATATGTTTCTATACATGACTGTAAGTATTATTTTAAACAGGGTTTGCTAGCTTTGACTTTGAAACTGCATCCACTATATCTACTCAGTTCCATTGCATGTGGCATACGTAATTTTGCAGAAGGAAAATAACTTGTTATTGCAAGAGTAAATGGGAAAAATTTTACAGGTTGCTATCCAGGCAAATCTATATTATGAAGGCTAATCTATATTATGAAGAATTAAATGTACTTGTGGCAAATCCTGCTGCAGTAAAAATATATTTGCTGAAGTTTTCTACAAATTTTAGTCCTCCCTGTAATATCAGGGAGAAATCATTGCTTGGTGACCCAGTGCAGCTTTGAGCAGAAACTGGAAGAAAGCTGTCAGGGTCTGCATGTTTTTGCATTGTATTGTTCAGAGTTCATTTAAACTCAGGGTTCATGGTGAAAGGGAGGTGGCAGGAGAAGGCTGGAAAATCTGATCACTGAGTGTTGGAGACCTGTTTTCAGATTAGTGTCCTGGTGCTCAGGTGAGTTAGTGTAGAAATTCCATCTCCTGTTACTGGACATGGAGCAACAGTGACTGAAGGCTTTTTGGATGCTGGAAGAGGTGGGATGGTAGTGAGGTGTTAAGGCATGGAAATTAAAGTGAGAATGGATCAGACAAGCCTTTTCATATTGCTTCCTTACCTGCATTTCACAGTCAACCCTAACATTTTCTCAGGCAGGGATTGAGGGGGTAGTTGTGAATATCTGGCATTTAACTGGAGTATAAGTCTTATATCCTGAGAGAAGCTGGAGGGTGCTTATCCTTGAGAGGGGTAAAGGAGATGGGAGAAGCTTTTTCCATGAGCTGAGTGTGACATGGCATGACAGGGGTGATAGGGGAGCAGCTAGGGGCAGCCTGCTTCAGTTTCCCCACCTGATGTTTCAGGTCAAGCCATAGACAAATCCCTGTCTGTGCACCTTGGTCTAAATAGGAGTTAAATAAGGTAATTGTAAGGTGGGCGTCCCTCAATATTCCCCACACACTGAGTACTTGGTGCAGCTGTTGCAGGATGTACAGGGGGTTAATGCACTTCTAAAGCATGTTCCCCACCTCTTGCTGCTTGGCTGCTCGTTGCAGGTTTTCAATTAATTAGCCCACTGATCATTAGTCTTGAGGATCTGGCTGGGCTGATGTGCACTTTTTGCTTGTCATGTGGCCTGCAGATCAAAGGGCCAGGCATTGCTCTTGGGATGGAGCAGCAAAGCATGAACCTCAGAGAAAATTGATGGCTTGCTCCAGAGTGCAGCATTGTGTTCATCCTTCTGTGAACTTTTGATTTTGGGAATAGATTTGTGGTTTGGTTTTGGGTTTTGTTGTTTTGGGTTTTTTTTATTACACCATGGAAAATGCTTTTCTGTCCAAACCAGCTGGGTCTTCAGCAACACTTAACAATTAAAAGCACTTCTGTGCTAGGTGTTCCCTAAAAGATGGAAAATAAGATTTTTACATCAAAATGCCAGGAAGAAAAATGGTGAGGGCATTAAGTGCTGCTTTATTTCCATCAGATGCTAGTGCTTTTGGAAAATCAGTTGTGTTCCAGTGATCATTACCCCCCTGTGTGCTTCTCTCAGTTTGCTCCAGCTTCTCTCTGAAGGGCAGCTGTGCACAAAGCCTTGCCTGAGTCATAGCTCCAGTTACACCCTGCGGGGCACTGGAGCCATCAGAAGGGACATCCTCATGACCTAGGCTCGAGTCCTGTTCCCTTCCTCTTTCTAACCAGCTCTGCCTTTGTTTCAGGAGTATCCACATCGGGGGCCCTGGGCCCGGGGAGCACCACGGCCAGCACCACGCCGCGGGTGGCCACCAGCACCACCGGCCGCACCACCACCACGTCGGCCTCGGGCAGGAGGAACAGGAGCACCAGCACCCCGTCCCCCATGGCTGATGTCCCCGATGACATGACCACGCACCTGCCACCTGCCTCCTCCCAGCTGCCGCCGGCCGGAGCCGAGAGCTGCGATCCCATGGAAGCCCGCGACATCATGTGGTCCCGGACCCGGCAGGGCCAGGTGGCAAAGCAGCCCTGTCCCTTGGGCTCCATAGGTGAGTCAAGGGCTGGGAGGACACAGCAGCCTGTCTTCACTTCCTATGTCACCTTGTCAGTGTGCATCCAGTACTAAAAACCTTGCGGGTTGATGTGCTGGAAGAGCCTCTGCCTCCAGAAGTTGTGTGCAATGCGCCTTACCTGGTTGTGCCTGTCTTTGGCAAAAGCAAACCCTGGGCTCGCTGATTAATGTGTTGGTGGCTAATTCTTTTCTTGTTTTGCTAAGAGAGGGGACAGAGAAGGAAATCAACAAAACTTGTACTGTGAAGCTCCTGAACCAGTGTGAGTGATTTTTTAAACTGCAGCCAGCATCCAATGTGATCAACTGGGAAAGTGGGAGGGGGAACAAAGCCAAATCTTTCAAAATGGTTTATTGCTTATTGGATTTTACTCCTTCTCTTCTGCTCTTCCCGCAATTGTTTTCTTGAAAAATGTTGCTTTTGGAAATTTTCTGTTCAATTTGAAACATAATCGCGTTAAGAATGGGTTTTGGCATATGGTTCAGCTTGCTGTGTTTTAACAAATGCAGTTTTCTAAAAATAGTTATTTTTCATACTGGTCTTGGTGTCCAGCCCCAAAAGCTCGCTTTCAAAGAAGAAATGTTAAAAGTGGAGGAAATTGCCTGAAAATGAGGACTGAAGGGATCTGTTAATTCTCCACTCTTGGAGAGCCATTCACACCTGTGTATATGAGTACTGACTCACTCTGGGATTTGGTGAGGACAGACTGATAAAATGTACGTTAAAGTATGAGGAGCATGGAAAAGCATCAGGGGTGAGAATAGATAAAGAATAGTTTTGCTGTCTTTCCCAGCCCAACCTGGTAAAATTAATGCAAAAAGTATGATGTGATTCCCAGAGAGGAGAGAGGATATGCTGAACCAAAGCCATAAAAAGGAAAAGATGAAAAAGGAAAACGAAGGCTGGATGCAGAGAGTCCTTTCATAAGCACAAGAGCTAAGGACTGGATGAAAATAACTAAGGAAAAGATAATGGCCCAGCTTATGGATAGGAGATGGCCATAAGCCTTTCCCATCTCTAATTTCAGTGATTCATGCAACTTCTTAAAGCTGTGCTATATTAGCAGTGATACATTTCTCCTTGTCTGAAAGGGTCTTAGGCATTTTGCTGTCTTTCCAGCAGGGATTGGGCAGCTCTTCCCAAACAAAACTCTCCTCTAAAGTCCCTCTTGACAGCTGGGGGCCGACAGTAAACTTCAGCATTATATCTTGGCATTTGTAGCATTCAGACTTTGGTGTGTTTCCACCCAAATGTTGTAATGATGATTCAGAGCCATAAAATCTTCATAAAGCAGCAAGGAAGGTGAGGCACAGGGTCTGATCCCAAATCACCAGTGGTGGGGCAGAGCACTCAAGGTGCTGACTCAGTGTTTGAGATCTACTTCGGTTTTCTCACTACCTGGCAGCTTTCCTGCAATCCTCTGTCTGTAATTGCTTTTTGCCAAATTGGAAATAATATTCCTGCACAACATCGCGGGTCTTTTATGACTTAGGGCTCTTAAAGGACCAAGATGATGGGAGACTAGGACACTGAGATGACTCATAAGTGTCCTACTCAAGACCTGAGCAGCTAATAAGCTCCCAGAAGCCTTTGACACAGGCTTGCTGGGGGCAAAATGCAACCAGTCACACTGAACACAGCAACTTTCCTATTACAGGTGTTGCAACTTTCCGGTGCCTTGCGCCTGACGGTGTCTGGGAACCTCAAGGACCTGATCTTAGCAACTGCTCTTCACCCTGGATCAACCACATCACTCAAAAGGTAAAACTCCTCCCATGTGTTGACCACTTTGAGTCTGCACACTGACCTTGCTCAGCTCCCTGGTTTTCTCCCACAAGGAACCCAAAAGGATCAACAGTCACACATAAAGCATGAGCCATGTATAGTAGCCAGGATTTGCAAGGAGAAAGCAAGTATCTCATGGAAATTAATGCAAAGAGGGTAAGGGAAGGCAAAGGAGAGGGACTGGAGAGTGGAATTAAACTAGAGTGAATGACATTTCTTGTTTGTGACAAGAAAAGGAAAAAGAGGGAGGAGGAGGTGGGTGGACATATGGAAAGTACAGAGTTGTTGAAAAAGGAAACACCCTTTCGTACATCCTCAAGGATTTTTTCATGTCACGCAAGCACAGGATAAACCCCATAGTTAAGAAATCTTTACCAAAGGAAGGCAGGCTCAATGTGAAATGTTTTGTTTGTGCCTCTGACTTTCTGTTTTTAACTTCTGCCCAAATTATAAAAGAACTGGTGGATAGAAAACAATGCTGCAGTAATGCTTATCGTTTGACTCCGAAGTCCCTTGATGAATGTTTTCTAGCACTTCATCATTTATCAGTGTTAAAAGTGCATTAACATGTGACAATAGAAGTTCAAGACAAGCAGAGCTTATTTGGTAGCAATATGTTGAGCATTTTTGTTATTAATGCACAATGGTGCTTTCAGCTGATTTCATTACAAACAGAGACCAGATGTGTGTTTACGCCACGGAGTCTGTGGGCTGAATCTTTATTATAGCAATTTGTGGGGATTTATTCACTCCTTTAGCCAGAGTGAGCAGGTCCTGGTGTTGCAAGTGAGCTGTGCTGCTGCACAGTGGTGACACACAGCTCCCAAAGAGCTTCTGCTCTCCGGTCAGTGGGATGGGGTCATCCCACAGACAAGACTCTTGGACATTCTGCTCCCCATCTAAACTGAGACCTGATAATCTGTGAATTTCTAGCTCTAGTCATCCCTACCTTGCTTCATCTATGCTTATACCCTTCCCTCCACAAAGGAAAACATCAATTAATATGGGGCTGCTGTGATATGGCACAGCCACTACAAAGCCCATGTTCCTTCTGTCCCTCTCCTGCCAAACACCCAGAGAGCTGATGAATACAAGCTGCCTTTGCTGGCATTAGCAGCTGTGTGCAGCTCTTGTTTTATGACCTACGTCCATACCCTGGAGGGGTTAATATTACTTACTCCAGCCATAATTCACCCAGGCAGCTGGGAGACCTCTTGCTGCTCAGTGAAGATGGCTTAGGCCGTTAGCCATTAGCAGAGGGAAATAATAGCCTGCACTGATGAAATCTCCATCAAGGTTAGGCTTATTTTATTTGAAACCTTAGCTATCATTTGCGTAACAAATGAGCCCCATTTAATTTGTTACGTGCTTTCAAAGCAGGCTAAAATTGAACAGGCAAGTTTTCAGAAATGCCTAGCAGGTTACAACTGGGACTAGATTTAATTTTTTTTTCTGAAGGAATTTAGCTTTGTTCAGCATCGGGGCATCTATGAGATGACTCTGGATCTGTGGTTTTTGCCTGAGTGGGAATTCACTGAGATCTTGAGATATGTGACCCAACCTCAATGACAGCTGTTACAAAACATCAGGACTTTTCAGGAGTGACTTCTGAGGGGAAAGCCTTGCAAGGCTCATCTAACGGTTTGTGTTGGGTTTGCAATCATTGAAACATTTATATTGAAAAAGACCTCTTAAGATCATTGGATCCAGCCATTCACCCAGCACTGACATGCCCACCACTAATCCATGTCCCTAAGTGCCATGTCTGTGGGACGCATATTGAGAAAATAAGAAAATTACAGCCTGAGAAATATTCCAGCTCTGTTCCCAGCCGATAAGCTGGTCCAGCTCAAGGCTAGGGAGAATTTCTCCCAGGGTGATAATTTGGTCAAAATAAAAAGGAATTAATAACAAAGATAGAACACACCTGTTGTGGTGTGTGACCAGGCCCTGGGAATGGGGTGTCTTCTCTCTGAACCAATCACCTTTTCTCTACTCTTGGAATTGCGAGTCATGCTATAAAACCAAGTGTGTTTCTGAATAAACTTGTCTCTTTCTTCCTGTCATGAAAGACGACCATGTAGCTGTGCATCTTATTTCTGCCGCACTTAAAGGGTTAAAACCCCTTTCCACGGCTACACATGTCTACATTTCTTTTAAATCTCTCCAGGAATAATGACTCAACCACTTCCCTGGGCAGTCTGTTCCAATGTTTGAGCCCTCTCTGTGAAGAAACTTTTCCTAATACGGCGTATAAACCTTCCCTGGTGCAACCTCAGGTGGTTTCTTGTCCTATCATTTCTTACCAAGAGAAAAGACTGACACCCACCTTGCTACATCGTCCTTTCAAGTAGTTGTAAAGAGGAATTGGGTCTCCCCGAGCCTCCTTTTCTCCAGCTAAACACCCTCAGCTGCCTGAGCAGCTCCTCATAAGCCTGGTGCTCCAGACCCTTCCTGAGCTCTGTTGCCCTTCTCTGGATGTGTTCCAGCACCTCAATGTCCTTACTGTAGTCAGGGGCCCAGAACTGGACACAGGATTTGAGGTGTGGCCTCACCAGTGCCCAGTACAGGGGGACAATCCCTGCCTTGGCCCTGCTGGCCACACTGCTGCTGATCCAGGCCAGGATGCCACTGGCCTTCTTGGCCACCTGGGCACAGCTGGCTCACTGTTTACGCTGGGCAGCTTTCCAGTTACACTTTCCCAGCCTGTAGTGCCACATGGAATTGTTGTGACCCAAGGGCAGGACCTGCACTTGGCCTTATTGAACTTCATACCATTGGCTTTGGCCCAATGATCCAGCCTGTCCAGATCCTGCACATGCTAGGTGAGGGCACTCAGCATGATCTGCTCCATGATGCTGCATCACATTTTCAACTTCCAGTCCACTTGGACGCCCCCAGTTAGCCAGGCCTGCTGATAAATGACGGAAAGTTGCTCACTATTCTCTCAGTACCCTTGGGGGGGATCTCATCCAGCCCCATAGAGCTGTGGATGTGTAAATGGTGTATCAGGCCACTGACCTTTTTTTCCTGAGTTGTGGGGGTTTTCTTCTGCTCCTCATCCCTGACTTCCAGCTCAGGATGCTGGGTATCCTGAGGACAACTGGTCTTGCTGTTAAAGACTGAGCCAAAGAAGGCATTAACTACTTCCTCAACTATTTCCTCATTCTTTGTCACTGTATTTCCTCCATATCCAATGGAGATTCTCTGTAGCTCTCCTTCTGTTGTAAGTATATTTAGAGGAATATTTTTTGTTGTCTTTTATGGCAGCAGATAGGTAAAATTCTAGTTGAGCTTTAGCCCAGCTAATTTTCTCCCTGTATAACCTTAGAATATGCTTGTAGTCCTCCTTAGTCACCTGCCCTTTTTCCAGAGGCCATAAGCTCTCTGTTTTGCTTTTTTCTTTTTCTTATTGCAGCCAAAGCTCTCTGTTCAGCCAGGTCAGTCTTACTCCCACCAGCTCATCCTCTGGCACATGGGTACAGCCTTCATTTAAGATTCAGTAGGATCCTTACAGTAAATACACTTTTAAATTGCTTATGAAATAACCAATAGGCATTTGGTTTCCCTGCCCAAGCAGGAGGCTTGAAAATCATCACTGCACTAAAGATGGAGACCGATTCATCCATAAATCAAGCACTGGTTTCTAACATCCCTGCTGTGGATGGGATGCTTCCCAAAGCTTGCAGATTTGCTCCAGCACCTCTCTGAAGATGAAAAAGGAGCCTTTCTCCTCTAAGTCAAGCCAGCTTCTCTTCTTGCTGCTGTGGGGACAGCTAGAGGGAGCAGTTAGCCAGCTGTGCTGCGAGGACAGGGCTGGTTACACCCTGCAGCTCTGCTCTCCTGCATCCCCACTCAGCCCGCTGCAGCACAGCTGACAAAATGGATAAAAATACTTCTTTGTCAGCCAGGGTTCATACCTGCTCAGCGTGTCTTCATTCCTAATCTGCTTTGTCTCCCAAAAATCTGTCATCTGCTGGATCCAAACATGCTCAGGAAGAACAGTGATGGGTCCCCTGGAGGGATTTCAGCCAAGCCAGAGAGGATGGTAGGGAAATGCTGTGCTTGCTTTCATATCTGTGTAGTGAAGTAAGAATGATTACTTACTTCTTCTCTTTCTCCTGCTGTGCTCAGACTGTAGATTGGGTGTTTGCCTGCTTGCATCATGGTATTAGGTTTTACAGCCGTTTCCTAGCTTCCATTAGAGTTATTGTGCTTGATGGAAGATCAGAACAAATGTTCTCCTCAGCAATTCATTGGCCTCCTGACATTTACTTTAACTTTATTGTTGGTGCCTACCATGCCCTCGTAACGGAGTGGGAGAATAAACTTGCCAGTGAGATTGAATTATGCACTGCTACCTGGGTTATTTCTAGAGTCAAGCAGTAACAGGAGGCAAAAAGGTCAGCTTTGGATACATTGCATCATCCTGATCATGAGGTCACTCGTTCAGTCTCAGCCTGTTTGCTTTCATCGGTGCCATCCTTAGTGCAGTGTGTGACTTGCCTGAAGACATCTCTTCCTTGCTGCAGCTTTCAGCTGTGGGTGCTGCCTGGCACTGCTGTGCTCAGCTTCCAGCCTCTGGAAGACAGGAAGCCTCTTTTGTAGCAGAACAGAAAAAATTGTGCCCTTCACAAATGCACAAAAAGCTTCAATTTGTAAATCTAAAGCACGTGCCACCCATGCCCTCCTGAGTGGCCTGGATCATGTACTCCCAAAGGGCAGGTGAATTCATAGAATTCATTAGAATTCATAGCACCTTCCTGAGGTCCTGTAGAGTTGCTTGGGTGTGTGTTACAGGGTTTGAGGTTTTGTGGAGGACATCCCCACAAAATGGTGCAGTTGCAGTTCGGATGACAGGACGATGAAATCCTCCATTCAAGTTGCTTTTGGCAGTCTGTTTTTGGAGCACCATCATGAATTGGATGGAGCAGATGCCACAGAGGGTGTCTTATTAAAGGGTCATTAAATGAAGCTTAAGTTGGTTGAATACTGTAGTTTCAAAGCCACTTTTTCAGTGTTCTCTAGGTCTGCTGTACTCTGTGGAGAGTATTGTCTTTTCTCCTAGGCAACTGGCAAAAGGACAAGAGGACACAAGCTATGCCAGGGGAGATTTAGGTTTTTGCATCAGGAGGCATTTCTTCATAAAAAAGGTGATTGGCACTGGATTGGGCTGCCCAGGGAGGTGGTGGAGTCACTGTGTCTGGAGGTGTTTAAGGAAAGGCTGGATGTGGTACTCAGTGCCATGGTCTGGCTGACATTTTGGTGTTCGGTCATAGGTTGGACTTGGTAATCTTAAAGGTTTTTCCCAACCTAAATGATTCTGTGATTCAGAAAAAAAACAAGGAAAGGATGGTAGATATGCTCTGACTCTTTTCTGTGAATGCACACGTGTATATTCAAATTCTTGCCAGGAGGGAAAAATGCCATGAAGGCTTTGCAGTGTCAGAAGTTAGCCCACAGCCCCTCTTACAGCCTTGCTACCTGACTGCTGGCAGCTAATGGTGCCTGGTGAAACCTGTCAGATGTTTGTTCCTCCAAAAAACAGCATCAACTTCATGGTCTTCCCAGCTGACCAGTCCATCTGTACATTATTGTTTCTAAAAATCCTACTTCAGTCTTTCATGTCATCTTTCTATTTTTTGTATCAGTTTGCCTCTTCAGAAGGCTGCAGGAAAATACTTTTGCCTTTATGACTACTGGTGTTTTAGTTCATTTGCTCCCTTCTCAGCCTATTTCTTATTTCTTCTGATTTTTCCTCCCTAAACACTGTTTTTTTCTTTTTTTTTTTCCAATTTGTCTAATTTTTATTTTGCTGTCCTCTTATGCAGGTGGTTTCCTCTGAGAAAGGTAGGGCTGAAACAGTGAGTCCTGCTACAGAAGGGTCTTTCTTCATCTTTCCAGACAAAGCTCCCCAGTTCTGTTTGTTGGTTTATATGAGACAGGCAGGAGAATATGTCCTCTCCAAAAACTATTATTTCACAGTCTTTTCATTCATAAGAAGGTGCATGATAGTGGCACAAACTTGGAAAATGGTAGCAGAGTGTTACACAGAGGGATTTCAGGTGCCAGTGATCATTTGTAAATCTGGCCTGAATCCTGTCTTCCCAAATGGAAGAGGGGAGCAATTTTTTTGTCAGACCTATAAAACTGTGTTTTGTGTGTTGGCATTGTTGGCCAGAAACATGTTTTCACTCCATCAAATTTGCATTCTGAGACTGGTTTTAATCAGTTTGTAAAAGGTAAAAAAATAGGCCAAAAAACCATAGGAACCAAAAATTTGGTTTCAAATTTGGTTTGAACACAATGTCTTCTTTTATCCCAGAATCCTATTTAGCTTTAAAATTTAATATTTTCATAATCAAGGTAGAAAATGTTAAAAAGTAGTCTCATATCAGGGAGATACTTAAATCCCTTTGTTTTTCTTCTCAAGCCTCCCAGTAGAAAGGTCCGTTATTTACACATTTTTTCCCCTACTTCTTACTTGTTTCTCAATATCAGCTTGAGCCATAGAGAACCTCCAGGGGTTGTTCATGTGTGCATGTGTAACTATGTCAGTGTTTGGGTTAAAGAGTATTACATGTTTTGGAAGAAATAACAAAAAGAGCTCATCTTTCATGTGGCAATAATGAAGAGAAAGATATGGAGAAGTATTTTATAGAAAGGAAGTAAGTTAGTAATGCATCCTCTTGGGTAGCAGTAAGCTAAGTAAGCAGTAAGTTTGCAGAGCATTATGTAGAATTAACAAAAAAAAAAAAAAAAAGGCTCAGTCCTGTTGTTAGAGACCAGAGCCTGGAATATTATATTCAGCCAGTACTCGGGACTCACAAGAGAAGTTGGGTTTGACAGCGCTGCTGCAGAGGAGACACTTCAGTTTCAGTGGAAAAAGCTCAAAAGAATCAGGGAAATCAGCATTAACATGTCACACAGCCGTAATTCTGGACACTTCTCTCATGCACACAGCCAGAGTGGAAAGAGTGTTTCAGCACTGCTGAAGTGACTTATAGCTGCACATTCTGTGTGACCATGTGTAGGTGTGGAATTGTCAGTGCTAGGATGTAGTTTCATTACCTGCCAGCCAGAAACATTTTCCCAGAAGAATGGTCCATCTATGCTTTCAGGAAACCTGGGTGTGTGAGATAACTTTGGGTAAATACTTCTATGTCCCAGGAGTTCACAGAGTCTGAGTTTTAGTCTGCCTTTTTCTTGGGCATTTCTTCCATCACTGACTATTTTTTGTCTTGTTTATTTGGCCACAGTAGAATTCCTCAGATTTGCAGTTTTTAGGGTCAGTCCAAGAGAAAAAGAAAAGAGTTAATTAGTGACCAGCCTGCATCACTTTTGCAGACAGATAGGAACAGTAGCAGCCTGCAGGGAAAGAAAATTCTTGTGTTTGCCTTTGTAGCAGCTGAGCGATTTTCTTTGAGTGTGCCAGTTTGCATAGGTGTGTGGTCCAAGGAAAAAAGTGAGCATCAAATATTGGGTAGTGGGGTTTTTGGTTATTCTCTGATGTATCTGTAAAAAATATATTGAATTCCTGCAGTTTTCTGCAGAGCTTACACAAACACAATGTGTCATGATGCATGCTAAACTCCAGCAATGAACTGCAGGAAAATGTTGAAATTGATTTCTTTAGGTAAAGGGATTTGATGATACAAAATCATTGTTTCAAGTTCTGAGAGCCAACAGCAGAGGTTAAAATTCAGCCTCTGTGCTGATGCATGGCTTCCTTCAGCTGCTTAGGAGAGCAGGCAGCTGTAAGAATAGGAGCTGGTTTCTATGGCATTAGTCTTCTGTGTAACAAGAAAGAAATAATTTTTGAATATATCTTATCATTGCTCTAATGGGAAGAACAACACATTATCTCCTTTATTTATCTTCTCTGTATCATCATATGCGTTAATTCTCTGAAGATGAGCATATGAACATTTTGAGTTAGATTTCATTAAGTCAGATTGGCTTTTGCTGTCAAATTGATGGAAGTAAGTTATTCATTTATAACTCGGCTAATTGATTTACAGAGAGGTAGAAGCTCAGCCTGTAATCTTTCCCTAGAATCTTGCTTTTATAATAAGCACCAGAAAGTGAGGGAACAAGAGAAATATCTGATTTCTAGCTGTTGGTAGTTAAGACAATTGAAAATTCATATGAAGAACACAGCAGAGTTTGCCATTGAGGCTGACAGAGAAGTGGGAACTTCATTTATGTGTAATCCTGTGTAATTTCTCCCTGTCCCAGGCATATTCCACATGGATTTGCATTCCAGATCACAGACTGGTAGATAATGAATAAAAGACCAGCAACCTGGAGTGATATTTTTGTAGTGGGCCGCTCATGAAAAGGAGATGGGGCCAGCTGCCCTGTCCCAAATCTCCATGGCACAGAAGAGGAAAGGTGTACCAGATAGGGAGAGCAAAACAGAGCAAGAAAGGGGGGAAAGCCACAGGGAAAAAGTGAGAGTTTCCCAAATAATTACATGGTGAATTTCCCAGCAGGTTATTTGTGAGTTTTGTGACTCAACTAGATGATACAAGTCTTTTAGTAGAAGATTCAGCCAACCAACCTGCTGGCTTTTCCCTTCTAGTGGGCCTCTGCTTGAGCCTTTTGCTCTAGAGTTAGGGTGCTTTTACAGTGCTGAGAGTTACTGGCCACATTGCCAGTGGCTAGTGTGACAAGTGATGCTCCATGATAAATTAGCACCTGATTATTAAGTCAATAAGATGGAAATAGTGAACCTTTCGCTCTGTTTTTTCTTGGTTATATCACCTATTTTTGCTCCTTTTACAATGAACTCTTCTGTGGAAAAATCATCTCTTTGCTATCACATAAACTTTGGAATCAGAAACTACTTTCTCTTGACAGGAGAAGCTACTTACATTTGTTTTTTTCAAGTGGCACAGTAAGCCAATGGGACAAGATAATTAAACCCCTCCTTAGCCTGGAAATCCCATGGAAAACAGTGCCCAGTGAAAAGAAACTGTTGGGGTCACCACGGTTGACTAGAAAAACCATACTCAGAAAACTATTCATGCTCGAACCACAAAGACTCTTGTTGTAATTGACTTCTTGGCCAATGCTTCCACTCCTCCTTCCTTCTCCTCTTCTCCATCTCTTTTCTTATTCTTCCTGAGGGGAGTTGACCTGGCTAACGCTGTGGGGTTGGAAGGCACTGGAATGCCATCTCACCGCATCCTTTCCCTGTGCTTGCCGCAGATGAGGTCGGGGGAGATGGCCGCCAACATCGCGCGGGAGCTGGCGGAGCACACCAGGAGCCACCTGTACGCCGGCGACATCGCCTACTCCGTGTCCGCCATGGTGCAGCTGGTCAACCTGCTGGACGTGCAGCTCCGGAACCTGACTCCCGGCGGGAAGGACAGCGCCGCGCGCAGCCTGAACAAGGTGAGGCCGGCGGGGCCCTTTCGGTGGTAGCCCGCCCGCTTAGCCCAGCCAGCCCTAACCGCAGCACAGCACCGTGGCTCCCCTGCCCACGGTCTAAGGACAATTATCAGTCCTTTCGGCATTTCCAGAAGGGAGGGGAATTGCTGCATAGTACTAAAGGTGCTGGGAGTTGGCAGCTGTGGGAGAAAATACGAGCTGTGGGCTCCTGTAAGAATGCATTTAAAGCTGAAGGTTCCTTAGTGAAAGGTCCTCTTCATCAATGTAAGCACATGGGATAGCACTTACCTAGGATTCCGACAGTGAATTCTGTGGGCCTGAATTGTGTGACCCTGGTGACTATGAGCACATGGTTATATTGGCCACCCAGTTAAAATAAGACAGAGAATTTTGTTCTCAGCTGCCTATCGGGCTCAGACAGTTCTGGCATTCATGTAAGCATGAACAGAACTTGGTTCCCAAGACTATGGGGACTAATTGATCCCAGCTAAACCTGAAATTTCTTTGGTGTTTTATGAAGAGAAATGCTTTTCGGAGAAGTAACATGGTCTTTTTTCTTGTAAGTTGTTATTGTAGACTGATGCTGTTTTAAATGCAAAGGGCTTTGGGATTGTTTGAGATTTCGGTCGCATGGGAGCTGAACTCCTGCATCTCATGTGCTTTGCATGTGCTGTGAATTGGGTTATCCTGATGCTTTTAATTAGTGCTGCTTCCAGCCATTTCATAACAATGTAGGCAATAAGTGTATTAACTGTTACATCAGCATAACATTATTTATTATAATCATACCATGGTTCTTTGTTAAAATGATGGTGATGTCTGACAATATAGGTAAAGGCTGCAATTAATGTCACCTACTAACGGGTTTCATGGTTGTAGTCTGCTTGCTCTTCTGGATGCCTCCCAGCCACACCCAACATTTTGTCAATTCAGCTTTGCAAGCACCTATTTTTCATCTTTGTTTTTATCTCACCATATGGTTTTTGTTTCAATTACATGAAGTGGGATTGTATCATGGGGGCAGGAATGAGTTACTGAGGGGAGGACTGGACAAGGCAGAGCTCCTTGGCTCAGCTGTCACTCCTGGGGTCTCCACTGCAGGTTTCTTCCCCCTGCCATCAGCTTTGCACAAGCAACTCATACAAATCAATTGCATTCCACATTAAAATTCTGGACCACGTGAAGTCCTGCAAAACAGCGATGCGAGTCAGTGATCCAAATGACAGGCTCAGTAATTTACTTGCTCTCATTCCCCACTTAATTCTTTAGAAGAGCAACTGCTCTGTGTTCATTTAAGAATGCATGAATTCAACTTGGAAGTAGTATTGGGCAAACAAAAGGCAGCAGAGTTACTGCTCCATTTTCCCCTTCACTGATCAAGAGTATTTAAAAAAAAAAGGAAAAAAGTAATTTGCAAAGAGTTTTGTTTAGTGCTGTTTAGTCAGAAAGGAGAAATAAAGTAAGCACTAGCCATTAAATATTCTTTTAATCATTAAAGGAAATGTGCTGGGGATCCGAAAGTAATCACCTGTGCTGTTTTGTACTGGTGGGTTTTTTTAACAAGCTGATGTACAATGAATTGAAATAAACTGGCATAATCAGAATTTTTAAAAGCCATCGTCTTTCAGGAACCACTTTTCTGTCACTAAAAGCTTTATGCTTTCCACTGGATCAAGCTTAATTAAGGTGATAATTGTTCCATTTCAGACTGGGAAGACCCCCAAGTGGATAGCTCTGTAATTTTCAGCAAGGCTTTCTTTGATCTCCATTTGTTTCTGTAAAGTCTTCGTACTGGCCAGATTTACCCAGAGGAAGATTTCTACTGTTACAAATTGATGAATTAGAAATTGAAATTAGGCATTGCATGATACCTGGGTGTATTTTGCTTATTTCAGAGCCTCAAAACTCTCGAGGACAAATTTAGCTCTCAGCTGTACTAATGGGATTGCACTGCTGTGTGTTGAGAGCACAAGTTGCCCTGAATTCTTTGTTGATGTGCAATTTCCAACCAGGCACATCAGCAAAAACAAACCCAGCCAAGCTCTGAGCAGCCTGGCTTTGTGAGCTTTCATTGCAGTGATGCAGAGCTCACCAACTCCAGCTCACTGCTGCAGACTGCCTGCCAAGCCCCAGGTCTGTCAGGATGGGTCCATACAGGTCCAGGCTGTATCAAGATGCAGTCCAGCACAAGTCTTGCTCCCTGGGGTTGGTCCTGCTCATCTGAAGCTTGGTTACATTTCACTGTGGCATCAGCACTGTCTGACTTCAGAGCCCACACTCCTCTTATGCAAATAACCATCACCTTCATCCTTTTCAGCCTTGTTTGACATGGAAATGTCATGTGTGATCTCCAAACTGTAAGGGAAACATCATCTCTTGAGTATCTCTATTAGACCTCAGCGTTTTCTACCATCTAACAGCTGCTCTTGCAAAGTTGCCAGTCTGTGCTTCACTTCACTGAAAAAGGACTAACCCACATTTCTGGAGCCAGTCCTTCCAGTTTTCCACTGCTGCCTAACTCACACTCACTCCTTTAGTTTGCTTGGTTTTCCAGGAACTGTTTAAGAGAGAAATGAGAGTTTTTTCACAGGCATTTTCTTCATTTTTTTCCCTGTTCTGTCACTAACTTGTTTTTTCTATTCCGTCTTTAATCTGCTCTCTTTATGGACTCAGCTTCAGAAAAGGGAGCGCTCTTGCAGGGCCTATGTCCAGGTATTTCTTGTGTTTTTAGTACATGTGTCCAGTTGTTTGACTGAATGACTGTGAAGTGGGTCTTGTCTCTGTGAATAATCTGATTATTATCACCTGTGTGGCAGCAAGTTCTAAGGTTAAGGTTACAGGATAATAATGCCATTTTTTTTACCTTGCCGACCTGCCCCATTTCTCTCAGACTTGACAAAAATTTGGGACAAAATCGCTGAGCCAGAAAGTGGGAAAAAACCACAAGAGAGATCTGACAAGATTCATCTGGCCATCTGAATGAGCAGGACAGTATGGAGATGTGCAAGTGAAGAATGCAAAGCTGCTACTCACAGAGCTGTCTCCAGACCAACTGGATTTTGCTTACAGCATGATACTCATGTTGCTGACACCTGCATATCCTTAATTTTCCTTCTTCCCCTTTTACACTTTTAAATTTAGAAGCAATTCAAAATGGTAACACTCTACATGCGGGAGAAGGTAGGATTGTAATGAAATGCAGAGTGTCTCACAGAGAGATCTTGAAAGGAGGAGAGTGCTGCAAACAATGCATGAACAATGCATCCCATGAAGTATACCCAGGTCTGGCCTGACTTTCATAGGTTTACATTGTGTTTGATGTGAACCAAGTCAAGCCCCAGCATTCTGGAAAGATCTGGAAAAGCTTTTCAAGAGTGGGACCTCAGGTTATTTTATTAATCCTGTCACCTTGCCTTATAGCATTTGCTCCAGTGTATTTTTATATAAACCTGTTTGTATACTGTAGGTGAGTTAATGCTGCTTCAAGAAATGTGAATGTTTTACCTTCTAATCTCTGTCTTGTGCTTGTGAATGTTGATACTGTTTTTATGGGTGGTTGATCATTATTTATATGTATATGTGTAACACACGTAAATGAACTCTTATGTTTCTGGAGAAATTTCCTGCAAAATTCCACTTGCTACAGTTGGTACTGACTTTATTTTGTGAGCACATATTTCATTTAGCAAATGGGATGGTCTGGTTTTCTAGAGCATTAGAAATAAAGCAGTACCCCTCTGTGCTGATAGGCTCTGTTCTCTTTGGAAAACGTCACAAGAGAAAGTCACCTTTTCCCTTCCAAATACATTAATGGATAAAGACGAGTTATGGAGTCCATCCCTTGTCTGGGATCCTGGAGAAAGCAACTAGCAGGCATTTGAAGGAATTTAGGAAAGTTTGCAGCATGGGGATCACTCTCAAGCTAGCTACTTTTTTTACTGCTACCACTGGAAATGTGGTGAAACTGCTTTGACTCTGGGCTGCACAGTCCTGTTGGGGACATGGGGTGCTACCTGATCCATGGCTGTCCTTTCCACTGGCTGCACAGGCATTCTCCACAGAGCTCTTGCTCTTCTGTCTTTTTTCAAACAGTAGTGATTGGTGAGTTTAATGCACCCTACAGAAAGCTTGGCCTTGGTAGAATACAGCCTGAATACTCTGCAAAAACTTCGGCTTACCCTTAATTTCAAGGACTCCTTTCCTTTCACTTGGAAAGGTTGTTTGTGTGTTTAAAAGATTAATCATGCACCTACTTCTTCAGTAGATGAAAACTCATGAGAGCTCATTGCTTGAGCTGTTAAGTATGGATATGGACAAATCTGGTACATATATTGAAGAGGACAGTCCTGTAAAAGAGGGCTTGAAGAATGAATTAGATGACCTAATTGAACCTTTCCAGCTCTGCTTTGTACTATATGAGGTAAAGTAATGTATCTCGACATATTTTCATACAGTATGCTTCCATTTGGAAAATTGTGTGGCTAAAGTCATCAGAAAATCTAGTGAGGAAGAGGTGGTCTGTAATAGCAACTAGATGTGACTGCAGATAGTCCTGTTACAGGCTGCTCATCCTTTGCCAGGAAGTGAAATGTCTGGGCTGGCTGAGGGAATCTAGCACAGACTTTTCAACAAATCTTAAGTGGTGACGCCCTGGGCTTCGTAAAGTCAGTGGAACATGGGAAGTCACTGGGACATATGACATTGATGGCAGAGAAACAATGTTCAACTTTGCTGACATGATCTCCTCATGCTGATCCCATTATTGTGAAGAACATCCCTGGCTGAATTTGGCTCAGAGGGCTGGAAGTGTACCTTCAATTCTGTGCTCCCTAGACAAAGGAAGGTGCAGTTTGAAGTTTGTGCGAGAGATGTCCAGGAATTGTGAATATCAAAAGTGCTATTGAGGAAAGGTGGTTTTTTGGAAAGAGGAGGGTGACCTGAGAAGATAATAATAGCTAAAATAATAGCTAAAATAGCCATGACAGAACTCCTGTAGTGATCGGATTGTATAAAGTCCTCTTAAGCCCAAAATAAATTACTGTAAATAAATATACAAAGTGGAGGTAGAAATTTTGCAAGTTATTCAAACATAAAACTGAGAATGCATTATCAGATTATCATCTCATCTCTTTGGGTACCTTTAAAACAAACATGGATTTAATTTGTTCATTTTCACAGTATTTGTTGAGTTAAAAGCTCAGGGATTTTATTTACTCGAGATAGAGGTTACAAATGCTGCTTCTTTGGTTTCAAATGTGGTAAATGATCTTTTTTTTTGTCTCAAAAATCCAGCAAGAACCAACCTGGCAGGTGACACAATGAACGCATATTAATATAATGACTGGGCAGTTGCTGGAAGATTTTTCAGTGATGGTGATAATTAAGAAACTGCTAAGTGGGTTTTAATTTGTGATACTAATTAATAGTCAGCTGAGACTGAGCTGACCAAGGTGTATATAAAGGTGGCAGAGTGGCCTCAGCAAGGTGCCCCATTGGCAAAGAGGGGTGACCCTCTGGAGAGCAGAGATCTACATCTCCTGTGCCCACCTTTCTGTAGCTCTTGCACTCTGTTTTGGGAAAGGGATGGAAAAGTCATCATGTGGGAGAATGAGTCACAATGGGTGATGCATTTGATTAGCATAGCTTGGTTTGGTGGCTGGTCTGTGATGTAAGCTGGTATGAATTTTATTTAATTTTTTCAGAATTTATGTTTGTTCTAGTTCCAAAAGTTGTTGTCCTTAAACTGAAGCACTAGAATTGTAGAAAAAACAAATCACTTGCCTTTTGGGAATTGTGAAACTGGGTTTGGTATTACAGATGTCTTCCATGTCCCTTAGCAAGTGTCATGAGCTCGATATTTCTCAGCTTCCCTACTTAAAATGCCATGGATACAATTCTGTCCTCTAGGAACAGAGGTGGGGTAGTAAAGGAAAAAAAAAGGCTAAGTGCTCACATAATGTAGTAAGTGAGGCTGTATTAAAACAGAAAACTTAAACATGAGGAAAAAATAGAGACTTTTGCTGATTTAGTAGCTGGAAACACAGGTTTTATTAAAGGTTCATACCACACCCATGCTTGCAGTCTTTTTATCATGCACATGCACCTGATTGCAAAGTCTGAGCTCACCTGCTTGCTTCACTTGGATTTGTGGGCTGCAGCTCTGGGGCATCAGGAGGCCAATGAATTTCCCTGCAGTGCCAAACCAGAGGCCTCTTCCCACGTGAAATTGCATGATGCATTGGGATGAGGATCTTGGAAGACAGAAATTTCACAGGGTTGCCATTCTTTTAGTTTATTTTATAAAGTCAGTATGAGTGGTTTTGAAGCCGGAGGCTGGTGAATACAACAGATTGACAGCAAACAAATGGCAGCTTTGGGGAAAGGGTGGAAGGAGGCATCAGAGAGTTGCCTTTGCAGCATCTTCCTCATGTAATGGAGTTTGCTGCTCTTGGCTCTTGGTTCCTGCATTGTCTGAGCTGCCCTGTAAATCAGATTGCCTTGTTTTGTAATTCTGCACTGGTCTGGATAGCAAATGGCAAAGATTATGGAGGTGCCACCTGCTCCTTGGTAATTACAAGACCTTCTGGGTACAGGTGTCATCAGAGCCATGCATGAAGCCAGTGCTGAAATGATGGCAGGCTCGTGGTAGGAGACAGTGGCAAGTGGTTGCAGAGTTGTCCTTCTGATTCTCCTGGAAGTTTTCTAAACTCTTGTTGGAAACATGGGCTGTTTGAATTGCTGCACTAAGCAAAAAATGAAAGGCTTTCCTCAGAGGATTCAAGGCATTAAGTTTAGACCTGAGCAGAATTTTTTTTTCCCTTTGCTAACCTAGTAATTCTCATCAGATAAAAGGTGCATCTGGGACTTAGCCAGTGCTATTTAAAGTGGATTAATTCTGTTTGTCCTACTTCTCTCTTGCTTGCATGATTGGTCCCAACTTCCATGAAGACTAAACGAAAGAAACTTACCGCTCTGAGAGGGAGCACAAATTGAATTATGTCGTGTTTGCTTGTGTTCTTGTTGCCCCTGTGACAAGAAAGACTCTAACCTCCATTTATACAAAAAAGAGGCAAATTAATGAAGGTTTTCAAGTTCCTTGTTTGGTGACTTAATTGGCTGTATGACAAAGAGCTCTGCAATGTGTGTCAAACAACTCTGAGAGTTCTCTGATTATTTGTGCATTGCTTGACTCCTGATGCTATTCTGCACAGCCTGTCAGGCGAGGTATCGTTGTTAAAGTGGCTGGAATAAATTGGCTAGCAGTGAGCATACAATGTTGTATATTAACTATAGCTACAGGGAGTACTTTTAGCTGCTTTTTCAAGAGATCGAGATGTTTGCCCATCAGCATCAAAGTGCCTAAAACTTTCATTTAATATAATTAAAAGGACATCTGAAAGAAGTGTGACTTGCAGTGAGGTTCTGTGGTTTGCTAGCCCTTTGTTAAAACTCTGTGAACTTAATATACTTCACAGCTTGAGAAACCTGCACTTGATTTGTGTCAGCAAGAGTGAAACTAGAAATCCTCACCCTGCATGTTTCTGCTGTGGTGAGCCCGTTGTTAGGGGAGAGGAGCATCAAAGCAGCAGGCTTGGGTTTGTGACCAGACTCCAAAATTCATTGCATAAATGTTAAAAAGGAGGGTGACCCCATGTTCATCCACCTACAACTCAGCTATGCCTATGGTTAGGTTCTTACATGGCAAAACTGAG